AATCCTGCACAGTGACCTGCTGTGTGTGAATGCATCCTGCACAGTGACCGGTGTGTGAATGCATCCTGCACAGCGACCCGGTGTGTGAATGCATCCTGCACAGTGACCCGGTGTGTGAATGCATCCTGCACAGTGACCGGTGTGTGAATGCATCCTGCACAGTGACCGGTGTGTGAATGCATCCTGCACAGCGACCCGGTGTGTGACTGCATCCTGCACAGCGACCCGGTGTGTGACTGCATCCTGCACAGTGACCGGTGTGTGAATGCATCCTGCACAGTGACTGGTGTGTGAATGCATCCTGCACAGTGACCAGTGTGTGAATGCATCCTGCACAGTGACCCGGTGTGTGAATGCATCCTGCACAGCGACCCGGTGTGTGAATGCATCCTGTACAGCGACCCGGTGTGTGTGAATGCATCCTGCACAGTGACCTGCTGTGTGTGAATGCATCCTGCACAGTGACCCGGTGTGTGTGAATGCATCCTGCACAGTGACCCGGTGTGTGTGAATGCATCCTGCACAGTGACCGGTGTGTGAATGCATCCTGCACAGTGACCCGTGTGTGTGAATGAATCCTGCACAGTGACCCGGTGTGTGAATGCATCCTGCACAGTGACCGGTGTGTGTGAATGCATCCTGCACAGTGACCGGTGTGTGAATGAATCCTGCACAGTGACCGGTGTGTGTGAATGCATCCTGCACAGTGACCTGCTGTGTGTGAATGCATCCTGCGCAGTGACCCGGTGTGTGAATGCATCCTGCACAGTGACCCGGTGTGTGAATGCATCCTGCACAGTGACCGGTGTGTGAATGCATCCTGCACAGTGACCGGTGTGTGAATGCATCCTGCACAGTGACCGGTGTGTGTGAATGCATCCTGCACAGTGACCGGTGTGTGAATGCATCCTGCACAGTGACCGGTGTGTGAATGCATCCTGCACAGTGACCGGTGTGTGAATGAATCCTGCACAGTGACCGGTGTGTGAATGCATCCTGCACAGTGACCGGTGTGTGAATGCATCCTGCACAGTGACCGGTGTGTGTGAATGCATCCTGCACAGTGACCGGTGTGTGAATGAATCCTGCACAGTGACCCAGTGTGTGTGAATGCATCCTGCACAGTGACCTGCTGTGTGTGAATGCATCCTGCACAGTGACCGGTGTGTGAATGAATCCTGCACAGTGACCCGGTGTGTGAATGAATCCTGCACAGTGACCCGGTGTGTGAATGAATCCTGCACAGTGACCCGGTGTGTGAATGCATCCTGCACAGTGACCGGTGTGTGAATGCATCCTGCACAGTGACCGGTGTGTGAATGCATCCTGCACAGTGACCGGTGTGTGAATGCATCCTGCACAGTGACCGGTGTGTGAATGCATCCTGCACAGTGACCGGTGTGTGAATGCATCCTGCACAGTGACCGGTGTGTGAATGCATCCTGCACAGTGACCGGTGTGTGAATGCATCCTGCACAGTGACCGGTGTGTGTGAATCCATCCTGCACAGTGACCCGGTGTGTGAATGCATCCTGCACAGTGACCGGTGTGTGTGAATGCATCCTGCACAGTGACCGGTGTGTGAATGCATCCTGCACAGTGACCGGTGTGTGAATGCATCCTGCACAGTGACCGGTGTGTGAATGCATCCTGCACAGTGACCGGTGTGTGTGAATGCATCCTGCACAGTGGCCCGGTGTGTGAATGCATCCTGCACAGTGACTGGTGTGTGAATGCATCCTGCACAGTAACGGGTGTGTGAATGAATCCTGCACAGTGACCGGTGTGTGTGAATGCATCCTGCACAGTGACCCGGTGTGTGAATGCATCCTGCACAGTGACCGGTGTGTGTGAATCCATCCTGCACAGTGACCCGGTGTGTGAATGCATCCTGCACAGTGACTGGTGTGTGAATGCATCCTGCACAGTGACCCAGTGTGTGAATGAATCCTGCACAGTGACCGGTGTGTGTGAATGCATCCTGCACAGTGACCCGGTGTGTGAATGCATCCTGCACAGTGACCGGTGTGTGAATGCATCCTGCACAGTGACCGGTGTGTGTGAATGCATCCTGCACAGTGACCAGTGTGTGAATGCATCCTGCACAGTGACCGGTGTGTGAATGCATCCTGCACAGTGACCGGTGTGTGAATGCATCCTGCACAGTGACCGGTGTGTGAATGCATCCTGCACAGCGACCCGGTGTGTGAATGCATCCTGCACAGTGACTGGTGTGTCAATGCATCCTGCACAGTGACCGGTGTGTCAATGCATCCTGCACAGTGACCCGTGTGTGTGAATGCATCCTGCACAGTGACCGGTGTGTCAATGCATCCTGCACAGTGACCCGTGTGTGTGAATGCATCCTGCACAGTGACCGGTGTGTGAATGCATCCTGCACAGTGTGTGAATCCATCCCGTCCTGGAGCATGTGAGTGCATGGTAGGAGCTGGAGGCATCAATCTCGGGGGAACCCTAGGGATACCCTCCCTCCCAGCGGGAGCCTTGCAGTGTCAGTGCAAGTTCACTCCCCCCAGTTGGCTCTGAGGATCCATGGCAGGGACAAGTCGTTATCCCATGGGACCAGCGGGGCTTGGCTTCTCCCTGGGGGCCCCGTCCCATACAGGGAGCCTTGCTGTCAGCCGGTGTGGCTGTGGGCGCTGTGCTGTGCTGCTGTTCCCACCACCTCCTTGCTGCACCCAGCTGCTGCTCCCCCAGCGGTGGCCTTGGTGCTCCCGGCTGCTGCTCCCGGGAGCAGGAGTGCTCCTTCCCGGAGGTGTCTGGGCCCTGCCGTTCTCATCACTCCTACGAATTCCAGCAGCCTGCCCGTGAATCCCTGCAGGCCCAGAGCCAGGCTGCTGATGGGCGCCTCTGCATGGAGCTCGGGCTCCCCACCAGTGATCCTGACCTCAGAAGAAGCAGTGAGGCCCAGAGCCTCTCATTCTCGGGAGGTGATAAACCCTGCTTGGGAAGCGCTCCGTCTCTGTGCTGGGTCAATGCCACCGCATTCCCGCGGAGGCAAACACCCTCTAACAGCTTCCAACCAAGGCCCATGGAAAGTGGGCAGTGCCAGGGAGAAAGACTTTGGGATGTGGGCAGTGATTGAGGGCACTGTGACAGCTGCAAGCATGTGCATCGTGTGTGAGGCCAAAGCAGCCTCGCAGCAGGACACAGTGGGCCAGAATCCTTCTTTGTCCCTAAAGCAGGCAGCCCATGTGGGCACAGCAGCAAAGACCCAGCCCCATGAGTTTCCCCACCCTGGTTCTGCCTCCACTGTGCTCCAGAGCTGTTCATAACCCTTGCTATCAGCCTACTGGTGCAGTCCTGGCTGTCACATCCCTCCAGCTTTTCCTCTCCATCCGTGTGGTGACTCAAACCTTTGGAAGCTGGCAGCTTCATCAAGTGAAGGAGTGGATTTGGGCAGGAAGGGAGGAGAAAGGGATCAAACGCACATCAAGAAGCTGAAGCAGAGGGTGCTGTGGTGCTACCAACATCTGGATGCTGTGGTGCTACCAACATCTGGATGCTGTGGTGCTACCAACATCTGGATGCTGTGGCTGAGCTCTGGAGCAGTTCTGAGGAGCAGGGATGGGAAGTGCCATGGTTGGTTGTTACTAAGAATACAACTGTCCATAGCCTGCCTGATGGGATTACCAATAAAGACAAAGCACAGTGAGGATCATGGCTCCACTTCCTTCCTCCTGCCCCAGGGGTTTAATCCCATCTTTGTTCCTGGCTTGGTTTTAGCTGCTCAATAAAAAACTCTGCTCCAGGAGGTAACTCCAAAGCTTTTTCCCTGGAGGAAACTCCAGGGGCAGATTCCCACGTCTGCTCCCATTGAGGGTATCTGGGGGATTGCTCCGTGCTGGTTTTACCCTGGCAGGAATAGCTTAGGCTGCCTAATTCCAGCCTGCTTTGTCCAAGGCTGGCTAATCCTGCAGCGGTCTCAAGGGGCAGGAAATCCTCAGTGACAGGGTCTGGAAGGACCTGAAACCCCTTGGCCAGGCTCCTGGGGAAGGCTCTGGGGTACAGCCTGGCTTTGGGGACACCCTGGCAGTGAGGTGCTTGGGGGAGGCTCCTGCAGCCCAGCTGCTCTCAGCACCCACTTTTGTGGTGGGTACCACCAGTAAATACCTCCTGCAGCTCCTGGGGATGGAGGAAGGACGTGATGAAGCGTGGGGTGGATGTAAATGCTCTCGGAGTGCTGCAAGGGGGGCAGTGGACACGCCAACGTGCATAGGGCTCCCTGCAGTTATGCTGAGCTTGCCAGGCTGTGGGTGCATCCCAGGATGCAGAGCTGAGGAGACAGAGACAATTCTAAGGTAGAGAGTTCCCAAGTGTTTAAAGGATGGCTACAAAAGATGGAGACTCCCTTTTTGCAAGGAGCCCCATGGAGAAGTGGAGGGGTGATGGAGACAAGTTACTCCTGGGGAGATTTTGCTGGATGCAACGGGGAAGTTTTTCACACTGAGAACAAGCAGTCACTGGAATAATCTCCCCAAGGAAGTGGTGGACTTCCCAGCACTGGACACACTTAAAATTCAGCTGGGCAGGGTGCTGGGCCATCGAGTCTGGGTCATGCTGGCAGAGGGGAGACTGAGATGAGCTCTTAGGCAGAAGCTCTTCCCTGTGAGGGTGCTGAGGCGCTGGCACAGGGTGCCCAGAGAAGCTGTGGCTGCCCCATCCCTGGCAGTGTTCAAGGGCAGGTTGGACACACGGGCTTGGAGCAAGGTGCTCCAGTGGAAGGTGTCCGTGCCTGGGGCAAGGGGTTGGAGCTGGAGGAGCTTTAAGGTCCCTTCCAACCCAGTCCATTTTGTGATGATCCCGTGCTTCACCGGGAAAGGTTGGACCCCGTTATCCTTCAGGTCCCTCCCAGTCTGGGACCCTGCGATGACCCCATGAGTGTGCAGAACCGTCTGGAGGTGCCGTGTTGGGGAGAGGACAATGTCAACGGAGGAGCCTCCTGTGCCAAGCCCGACACTTGCACATAGCAGAGCCGGGCTGCTCGCAGCGCAGCCTCTGGAGCGGGGGCATCGCTCTGGCTGCCGGCTCGGTGCGGGGGGGGCCGGGCTGTGGGCAGGGCCCGGGCAGATGACGCCGGGTAAAGCCGTCTCGGAGCCTGCCCAGCCCCGCCGCAGCCCCAGCGCGGTGGCCGCGCAGTCGGGTCGGACGGGCTCCGGCAGCAGAGCGGGATGGACGTGGCCGTGGACTTGTACCTGGCCGTCCCGCTGCTCTTCACCGTCCTGGCCCTCGTCCTCGCCTCCGTCTTCGTGAGGCTGCGGGGAGCCGAGGGGGAGCGGCCCCGGGAGCCGGCGGCAGCCGAACCGGCTCGGGAGAGCGGCCCCGGGGAGCAAGCGGCGGCGGGAGCGGGGCCGGAGGCCGGCGGGGAGCGGCTGCCGGTGGAGGAGGTCGGGGCGGCCGAGGAGCGGAAGGAGGCGGCGGAGGAGCCGAGCCCCGCGGCCGAGCCCAGCCCCGCGGCCGAGCCCAGCCCCGCGGCGGCCGAGAGCATCCCCCGGGAGCCGCTCACCGAGCCCCGGGAGCCCGAGCCCCGCCAGGATGCTCAGAGCAAGGTAAGGCCGGGTCCCTGCGGAGCCGCCCGCAGCCCGTGCAGAGGCCGGGTCCCCCCCCCCCCCGGCCGCAGCAGTGCCCGTTCCCGGGGGCCGGGGGGGGAGCACAGAGCCGGGTTTCGGCCCCGGTGGAACAAGCCCGTTGTCCCGAGGGCGGCAGCGGGGGGGTTGTTTCGGGCTCGTTTCCACCGCCGCCTCCCAAGGAATGCTCTTGAAACCGGTCGAGATAGCGAGGGTTTCGGGGGGGGGGGGGGGGGGGGGGAAGCTGTGTCAGTGCGCGCCTCTCCCGGCTGCGCATCCAGCCCTTGGGAGCCTTTCCCTTCTCCCAGGAGCTAACCCAGGTGCTGGGGTGGGTGTGGGTGTGTTTGCTCTCCCCGTCCGCAGCCCCGTTCAGTGGCTCGCAGCAAACTGTCCCCTTGCCAGCACCGGTGCCTGAACCCGGTCCCTGCCTGCCTGGTCCCCGCCTTCCCCCTCCCCTCCCAGCCCCAGCGGGACGCTGACCCCGAGGTCTGACTCCCGCTGGGCTGGGGGGGCCGGAGGAGCAGCGGTGCCCATAAACACCGGTAAATCCTCCTCCCGCGCCGGATCCTCTTTACGAATCAAAGGGCGACCCTGGGAAGAGCCTGCTCTGCCCTTGCCCTGCTCCGCGGGACTCGGGGGCAACCCGAGGAGCCCCAGCTCCCCGCGTTGGTGCCCTTCTCCCGGCACCAATGCCCCGATGGGAGGAAGCGGCTCAGGAATGCGGGAGCGGTGGATGCGTGGCCTGGCCGTGTGCTGGGGCCCTGCTGGCTATTCTTAGCAGCACTTGTAATCCTCAGCAGCTGCCTGCAGCAGCCCTCGCCTCGGGCAGCATCACCACTGACTCACCGGACAGGTCCCAGGGGCTCCGCACCCTGCTCTGCACCGCAGAGCCCAGCCTCAGGGCTGAGACGTGGCACCCTGTGCTCCCCATCACCTCCCCTTGTCATTTCTGAGCCTCCGGGCTCCCAGTCTCCCCTTCCTGGCACCCCTTGGCCATGGATCCAGGCCCCTTCCCTGTCCCAGTGGCCTGGCAGCCATCCGCCCCTCTGCCTGGTGATTTATTGGTGCCTAGGAGTGCCAGGGTCTCTGGCAAGCTGGCGAGCCTCCGGGCTACCCTCAGCCAGCTGAGCACCAAATCTGGCCACCCCACTGGAGCTGCTGCAGGGCCTGGCGTGCAGCCGGTGTTCTCTGATGGAGCACAGCACCACGCTGGGGCAGATGGCCCAATCCAGCGCTGCCAGAGCTCACCGGTTCCTCTGCTTTCTTGCAGTGTGAGTCTTGGGAATGTTTTTCTCCCCTCTGTCTACTCTTCAGCCCTGCTTTGAACAGGCACTTGCTGCCTTCAGAGATGGGCTCAGCTCCTTTACCTCTCCCCTCTCAGGAACACGTGTGGTAACAGGGCTTTGCCCACCCAGGGGTGAGCCCTTACCCAAGGCACAGGGAATTGTGTGTCCTCCAGGAGCCTCCCTGGGCTCCGTGGGATGGGGAGGGTCTCTGCTGCACTCCCCTCAGCCCCTCTTAGAGCAGAGCAAAGGGGACACCAGGGCCAAGGAGGGTCCTGGCCTGGGATCTGTGACCTCGCTGTAGCAGGATGTCACCCTGGACCTGAGCAGCACCAATTTGGGCAGGGGCCAGGCAGCGGCTGGGACCTGGGGGGTGATGGAGAGGGCGAGAAGGCGGAGGGATGCTTCCTGCTGCTGAGTAAGTGTTTGGGAGCGCTGGTCCCTCGTGATGCAGCAGCTGCCAGGACGCTTGGCACGGGCAGGGGCTGCTGGTGCAGGGTGTACGTGGTGTCCAGCAGGCACCGCTCCTGTGAGCAGCGCTCCCAGTGCTGAGCCAGGGCAGATCCCATGGGCAGAGCAGGGGAGCCCATGCACAGCTCTGTGTTGTCTCCCCAGGGTTTGCTCCCTGCAGACATCCTCCAAGGTGCTTCCTCCTGCTCCTGGCAGATGTGGCAGGCAGGGATGGGACCGGCCTTGGGCAGAGCTGTGCAGGCAGCTGACATGGAAACGTGTCTTGTGGACCCTGCCTTGGCTCGGCTGCAGGCTGCAGTCCCTGCTGTGACTCAGCAGAGAGGCTCCTGCAGGCTCCGGGCTGGGGACATCAGCACATTCGCAAGCTGTGCTGGGCACCCAGAGAGCTTTCTGCCCTTTTCATCGCCTCCTGTTTGCTCAGCACAGACTGCACCAGCCTGGTCTGGAGTCACTGCAGCCGGTCACCACTCAGCCAAACGCTGATGGATGAACCCGCTCAGGGAGAGCAGTCTGGCTGTGTTTAATGGCTGGAGCTGCCCACCCCACAGCCTCCTCCCTTCCCTTCTCCCTGCCTGTGCAAATCAGCATCTGCTGGGGCTGTTTCAGCCTCCCTCCTGCTCCCACCTCCTGCAAGGGCAGCCTGAGATGTGAAGCCAGCAGGTAAAGTGTGTGGGGCAGGCCTTCCCAGCCCCTCCGCATCATCGTGCCCATGGCTAGCCAATGAAGCACTGGCAGAGCAGGGAAAGAAGCCCAGGGGTCCTTGTTCCCATGAGCTGCGGGTAGCGGTTCCCCTTGTCTCTGCTGGCTTCCATCACCGAGTAGTTAACATGTCACTGTCTGTTCGCATCCCCATTCCCGGCTTGGGAATGGTGGAGGCAGCGCTGTCGAAGCGATCCCTAATGAGTTGTTGGGTGGGAACTGCAGTGTTGCTGGAGCTGCTCAGGCTGGTTCTGCTGGGAAACGGTCAGAAAGCCTCAGTGCTGGAACGAGGAGCTCTGGGCTGGGAATGGCAGATGGCAGGGACAGGGTTTGCCATGGTGCCATCCTGCATCGCCTCCCCTGGGATGCCACAGGGAGGGCGAGCGGGCAGCCTGGCTGCTTTGCCAAGGGTTAACTGCAGACGGTGGCTTCAAACAGAGACAGGTCCAGGGGGTGACAGTGGGGCTGGACAGCAAAGGCACCAAGGGGATGTCCTTGCATCTTCTGCAGAGCTCCTGCTGCCTGTGTCCCCCACCCCATCTGGCCCTTCCTGGGGGCTCCTGGTGCCCCTGGACACCCCAGGCAGCAGAAGCACGCAGCAGGGACCCTCTACATTGAAGAAGTCAGCATCTCCCCTCCCGCCTGCCTTCCCAGTGCCCGCGGGGAGAGGGTGTCTGATCAGTCTGGCTTCAATTGGCAGCTCTGCCTCTGCCTCTGCCGTGCCACAGGGCTGGGGCAGCAGCTCTGCAGTGGTGGGGAGGGATGCAGTGATGTGCCCCCTCCACCACAGCCTTGGCAGCACCACAGACCCCTGCCAGCGGGATGTGGGGCTCTCCACAGGACCCGTAAGTGCTCAGATGCTCCCCAGCTCTCGCCCAGAGCAGTCTGTGCTGATAATGAAAGCATTGTCTCTCGCAGCAGCTGCAGCATGTGTCCTCCCCTGCAGGCCAGGCATGGGGCTGGGGCTGGGATGGTTGCAATGGGGCTTTATGTTGTGTCCGTACAGTGGATCCAGGAGGTCCTGCTCCTACCCAGTCCCTTCTGGGCTGGGTACAGCCTCGGGAGCCTGCGATGTGCTGCTGGAGCAGAGCCCATGAGGACTCTGCCTCCTCACTCTCTTCAGCCTCAACCTGTGCCAGGGGAGGTTTAGATGGAGACAAGGATCAATTCCTTTCCCAAAGGGTGCTCAGGCATTGGAACAGGCTGCCCATGAGATGCTTTTCTCAGCTGCCCAGCATTAGTATGTATTCTTTTAAAGGCTTCTTCCTTCCCTTTCTCCTCCTGGCATTTCCCTTGCTGGCTGCCCTGCTCCTGGCTGCTTGCTTTCCCTCTTGCAACGTCTTGCATCAGGCTTGGAGCAGAAAGTGCAGCCATAAATGGCAACACATGGGGCCCAGGAGTTTAATCCAAGATAATTTTCTCCCCCTGCTTTTGCAGCCTGGGATATTCCCTTTTCCTGGAGCTCAAGCAGGACACTGCTTTATCTCCATCCTGGCCATAAGTGCCAGGGCTGTCCCTGCGACTAAGGAAGGGGAGAGGGACACGTCTGCCCCATGGCCTCCTTGTGCCCTCATGAGGGAAACCCATTGCTCAGAGGGGTTCGTGATGGGAGGGGGGGGGGAGGAAGTGGGGAGGAAGCAGCCAGAAATGAGCTAAACCCCAGCTGCTGCTGTGATGTGTGGGGCTGGGAGCGGGCTGGCGAGGTGACCGCGAGGGGGATGCTGGGGATGCAATGCCAAGGCTGATTCCCCTGGGAGACTCGGGGCTGCCTGTGCCCACAATGTCCCCGGAGGTGTTGCCCTTTGCTTTGCTCCAACGCTATCCCTGTTGCAGTTGGCTTCGTCTCGCTCGTTGGCCGTGGGAGCTAAAGGGCAAGAGCCCGTTCCTGATGATCCCACAAGTGCCTCAGCGCCGGGGCTGGGAGCACAGCCCAGCTCACTTGCTGCGTTGGTGTTAAAGGTGAACGCTTGCTCAATGGGAGCCCTGCGGAGGTGGGCACTGCCCTTTCCCAAGCCCCCCTCAGGCTCTGTCTGTGATTCACAAGCATTAGGGAACAGGCTGCCCAGGGCAGGGCTGCAGTCACGGTCCCTGTGAGTGCTCACAGTGTGGAGACGAGGCCTCAGTGCCATGGGTTAGGGGTGGCTTTGGCAGGGCTGGGGTAAGGGTTGGACCTGATGAGCTTAAAGGGCTCATGGTTCCATGAGCCTCCAGCAGCTCACCTGGCTCTGGTCCTCGCTCCCCTCACTCCCCACCGCTCATGCCTCCCTGCACTGCCCTGGGCTGTGTTCCTTGCAGAGGAGCAGTGTCTGGGGTGCTGGGATGGGCTCTTGAGCTCACACCTCCCAGCGCTGCAGAACACCCTCCCTCTCATGTTGTGCCTGCCCTCCTCTCACAGAGCATCCCACGGCGCACAGCAGCCCCCAGCTCAGCTGCTCCTGCCCCACGGCTGATGGAGACAGCGCAGCAGCATCCACCAGCCATAGGAGGGCTCAGGAGCCCTGACCTCTGGGGCAGGCTCCTGAGGGTGTTGGGATGCCGGTTTTCCAAGCCAGCCCGGAGGCTGCTCGCAGTGCAGGGGCACCACATCCCTGCTCCCTGCCCATACCTGTCCCCCTTCAGACAGCAGGGAAGGGCTCAGCTGGGAAGTGCTGGGAGAAGGCAGGGGGAGGAAGGATTTGAGCTGATGTGGGGCTGAGGGCAGCTGTGGGATTGCAGTGGGGTACCAGGGGGTTTTGGGGGGTTGTTGCCCTGCAGCTCGGGCAGAGCAGGCGCTGCAGGCATTAACAGAGCACACACTGCGCTGTTCCTCTGCTCTCCCCTCCTGTAGCCCTGAGCTGCTCCCGTCACCAGTGGCTCCTGGTCCCGCAGGCAATGGGCAGCTCAGGAGCTCCAAACCCTGGCTCCAGGGCTGGGCAGGGGAGGGCTCTGGTGTCCCTCACTCCATGCAGCACCATGGCTTGGCCCACGGACCGGAGGCAGGATGGGCTCAGGTGCCGCAGCAGGGCCACAGCCAGGGGCTTCTTCCTGTGTGCTGATGCTGCCGGGGCTGAGCCCGGGCTGTTTGTGCTCAAAGCTTCTCTCTCTTTCCAGACACCACCTTTGGGAGCCTCAGCTGGGTCCAGCCCCGGGCAGCCGGGACAAGCGGAGGGTGCAGGAGACCACACAGCACTTCCCAGCAAGGCAGAGGTGTGTGGGATGGGGTGGCCTGGGGAGGGTGGCACAAGCTGCATGGGGGGGACGTTGTCCCAGGGTAGCAGTGGCCATGGCAGGGATGGGGGTGCAAAAGTTGCCTGTTCTGCTGCCCCGAGGGTAGTTTTTAATGGCTCAGTCCATTTTGAACAGAGAGAAACAGAGCCCCAGGTGAAAATGGGGATGTGCAGGGAGCAGCGCGTGGATCCTGGGGGAAGGATTTTCCTTCCTTGGAGCTTTGGAACCCACATTTCCCACTTGCTTCCACTGTTAAACGCTCAGAAGTGCTCGGTTCCTAATGCCCAGGCAGGAAACAGCCTAAAATACCCCTGATTGTGCCAGCTCCTGGAGGGCCGGGTCTCCCAGGGGACTTCCTGCCTCACAGGGAGAGACGGATCCAATGGGGAGCCGCTGCCCTGGGCTCTTGGCCACGTCCCCAGGGCCAGGGCTGAGCATCCTCTCCTGCTCCCTCCCTGAGGCCTCTCCTTTGGGTGCTTCCCAGCTCCCAGCCCTGCCAGGGGAGAGCCTGGGTGTCCGGTGGGAAGTGCCCATGTTTGGAAGCGTGGCTGCAGGAGGTGGGGGTCCTTCTGGGGAGCCCCACAGGAGGCTGCTGAGGAGCAGCCAAATGCCTGTGAATAACGCGCATTCCTCACTGGTGACAAACGCACCCAGAGCAGGGTCAGGCTCCAGCGGTGCATCTAAAGCCCGGCCCTGCAAAGCTCAGCTCCCTGCAGGGTCCTGCTTGGAGCATCTTCCTTTCCCTCAGCGATCATCTTCCTTTCCCCCTTGGCAGTGTGGTGGCTCCCTGCTCCTTCCCTTCTCTCCCACGTGCTTTGCCCTTTGCCCACCAGCCCCATTACTTTGAATGGGATGCCCAGAGCAAGAGTGGATGCAGGATGGATCCTCCCGGGTGCTGTTTGCCTCCAGGCTTGGCGCACAGGGGGCTTTGCAGGAGGAAAGCACATACACGGGGGCATTGCCATGTATCCTTGTCTTATCTCCAGAGCTGGAGCGCTCCTTTCCCTCCCTGCTTGCAGCTTGCATGACTTTGTGCTGGTCGTGGGGCAGCCCACGAGGGTGCTGGGGCACGAGGCTGTGCCTGGGGCCACCAGGAGAGCAGGTTCTGGTGGGAGGAAAGCAGCCCAATGAACCTCTTTCGTTAGCAAGCATCCTCTTGGCCTGCTCCATGGAGGAGGCAGGGAGGGGATACCCAGCCCTCAGCCCAGGCTCTGCCGCCCTGCCCTGACCAAGCAGGGGGTATTTAGCAGAGCACCTTCTCCTCATCACCTGCTCTGGTTTTAACTCCTCCAGGGGGAAGATCTGGACCTGGAAAAAGAGAAGCTGGTGGTGAGGGAGCCGGAGGATGAGGATGGTGAGTGCCAAGCAAGCCAGCACCGTGAAGGGAGGCTACAGATGGGGCTGAGGGGCTGCAGCCCCACGTGCTTGGGGATGGTCTCCTTCCTCCAGGAAACAGAGAGGAAATTCCTCCCCTTTGCTTCTCCACGTGCCCTTGGGCTGTTTGCCATGGGGGGAGCTTTGAGATGAAGCTGCCCCAGAAGCTCTTTGCTCACATCCAGGAGGCTCTCCAGGGGCTTTAGCCAGAGCCCTGTTTAACTGATGAGCCAATTAGTTGATTGGAAAATGATTGAGTAATTGTAGTGACAACTGCTGTGCTGAGAGATGCAGCAGATGGTGCCAGGCAGGAGCGTGGCTGGAGGGGACGTCGCTCTCCTGAGCGGAGATGCAGGGATGTGCCCAGGAACCCCCTTTGGGGTGGCTGTGGCAGCCGTGGAGCTTGGGGTGCTCCCCCTTCCCTGCCCCACTTCCCATTTGTGGCCAATCTCCTGGCTCGGGAGGATTATCCCTAATGCCACAGAGAATCAAATCTGAATCCTGGGGCTGTGTCCGCAAGGGGGGGGAAGCACCTTTGGAGATGAGGTTCCCAAAAGACTCTTATTCCGCCCCCTTAGGCACTGGTAATCAGGCCTGTTCCCATGCAGGACTTGCTTTGAGGAGCGATGGACATATCCTGCCAAAGGGACGCTCAGTAGTGCTGCTCTGCCTCCTTCAGTTCAGCTGTTTCAGGGCTGCCCCAGCACTGCTGTGCATCATCCCAAAGTGGCTGTGGCTTGGGATTGGTGACAGTCCCCATCCATGAGTGGTGGCTAAGTCCAGCATCCTCCCCCAGCATCTCCTGCAGACGGCCATGGGCTCCTCTCCTGACTTATTTACATCATTTCTGAAGGGTTTCATAGCGGCACTGGTTAGAGAGATGGCTCAGCCTGAGGAGGAGACAGGTGGGGTAATAACAGTGCCCTGGCTTTGGTAGGGAGCAACCTCACTCCTTCCTTCTGCCTCTCCTGTGCCTCATGGTCCCGGCCCAACTCAAGCTGCTGCACAGTCGAGATTCCCCTTGGGCTCATGGGGACCACCAGGCCAGGATGCTGCTGTGGTGGCCTCGTGTCCCCACTGCGGGTACCAAGGCTGGCTGGGAGCAGGATGAGAGGAAAGGGACTGCTTCCACCAGCTGAGGCAGAGGGATGAAACACAAAAGTGGTGGTAGCGTGAGCTCACAGAGGCTCGGAGCAGGTCACTTCTTTCTACAGTGGTTTTGCACTTGACGCAAAGACCCAGCCTCCCCTTTCCCGTGTGTTTCCTGAAGCTGGATTTCGGTCTGCAAAGAAAGTTCCTGAGCTCAGAAAACAACCAGGGCTTTCCAAAGCCACACACGGGCTCCTTTAAGCACAACGCGTGGGCAGGGAGGTGGGCGGCTTCCTCACCTCCCTCTTCCCTTGCTCCCTCCTGGTGGGGTGGCAGTGAAAGTGCCCTTCTGGGGACAGGCAAAGGCTCAAATCTCAATGCGCTTGGCAGGAAACCATGGGAGGGAAATGATGCGAATTGTCCTTGAAATCAGGCGAGCTATGCAAAGGTAATGGAACGGCTCCTGCCCCGCATCAGGGTAAGAAACAGGATGTTCCACCCTCACCGCCTTTTCTTCCTCTTCATGCCTCCAGAGCAGCAGCCAGCTGGAATTTTCTTTCCAGGCACTTTCCTGGCCACCTGAAGGGCTGATAAGCTGCAGCATTCCTCCTTGTTTCCAGCCAACCAGACTTGTTTGTCTGCTTGCTGGGAATGTTTTCCCACCAAGGGAAGTGGGATATGGCCGAGCTGAGTGTTTGGGGCTGCAGGACCAGAGCATTTGTGTGCTTGTGTTGGGAAGATGCTAGGGAAGGGGTTTGTCTTTGTTCCCCAGGGATGGGATCTGGGGAGCAGTGAAACACCCTGGATCAGTGAGCAGGAATGCAGCCGGGATTCGCAGGGAAGCTCCTGAACATCAGGGACATGGAGATGTAGAGGAGAAGGGAGGGAATGGGGCTGTCTGCAGGGAGCAGGCTCTGTTCGCTCCCCAGGCACACTCCATGCAGCAGCAGCCCTGACCTTGCCCCACCGTCCCGAGCCTGTGGCCTTGCACAGCTTGTTCTTGAGATCTCAGCCTTCCCCAGCTGGGAAATGAGGCTCTTGCGTGGGGGTCCCCAAGGTCTGCGGGAGCCCTGGCACGAGCCTGGGGCTAAATGAAGCGCCTGGCCTCGGATACAGGGAGAGAATCCTTAAAGGGCTGGAACTGGATGAGCCCTAAGGTCCCTTCAGACCCAGACCAGTCTGGGGGTTTATATGATTCTATGAAACTAGAGGAAAGCTGCTGGTGCTCAACACTTGTGAGTGTGAGGAAGGGAGGAGAGGGGCCGTGGGGTGGTTTTCCCTTGGGCAGGAGGAAGAGGAGAGGCTTTCATCAATGTGGTCCCACAGCAGCAGCGGGAGCAGTCCTTTCTCCCCGTTGATTTCCCTTTCCCTACGAGTGGAGCCTCGCTGCAGCTGCCTGTGCTCGACACCCACCCGATCACACTCCTTTCTCAGGAGTTTCCCCTCCGTCGGGGTCCTGTTGGTGCTGTGTGGGGTCATCCTGGCTAGCTGGGTTGTGGATAACACGCAGCCCTTCAGGGCCACGCAGACAATACAACAGCATCTTCCTTTCGCGGAGCCCTTAGAAGTACCCCCAGGGCTCTGAGGGTCGGTGGAAGCAGCTGATGTTTCTGGGGGCATGTGGGAGCAGCAGTGCTGGATGGCTTCACGTGAGCCCTGCAGTCCTTGGGAGGCTCACGGGTAACCAGCTCTCAGATAACCAGTAAAGGCAGCTACCCGAAGCAGCCACTCTTCCTGGGCTGCCCTTTGGGTTGACCTCCACTCCTCTTGTTTTCTCCCATCTGCAGGAAGATAAAGCAGGGGAGAGGTATTTAAAAGCAAACAGTGCTCCAAAATCCGATTGGAAAAGGATCGGCTTTGGCTCAGAGTCCGTGAGCTTTGGTGCTGTAATTAGCACAGGGCTGAGGCTGGTGAGCAGGGCAGGAGAGCACCCAGGCCTGGAGAAGGAGACCTCGGTTTCCTCTCCAGGTCTGTTGGCTGGTGATGGAGGGACTTGAATCCTGTGTTCGGCTCTGGGCCCCTCACTCCAAGACCTTGAGGTGCTGGAGCGGGGCCAGAGAAGGGAATGGAGCTGGTGCAGGGCCTGGAGCACAAGTGTGATGGGGAAGGGCTGAGGGACCTGGGGGGGTCAGTGTGGAGAAGGCTCAGGGGGGACCTGATGGCTCCCTACAAGTGCCTGACAGGAGGATGGAGCCAGGAGGGGCTGGGCTCTGCTCCCAAGGAACAAGGGATGGGGCAAGAGGAAACGGCCTCAAGCTGCACCAGGGCAGGTTTGGATGGAGCTGAGGAACAATTCCTGCCCCAGAGGGTGCTCAGGCATTGGAACAGGGCAGGGCTGCAGTCACCGTCCCTGCAAGTGCTCACACAGCGTGGAGACGAGGTCTCAGTGCCATGGGTTAGGGGTGGCCTTGGCAGGGCTGGGGAACGGCTGGACTGGATGAGCTTAAAGGGCTTTTCCAACCTGGTTGATTCCATGACTTGGACCCAGCTGTGGTGATGCTCCTGGGGCTGCCTTGGCTCAGCTCTGCAGCCCCATATTTTGCAGTGTGGCAGCTCCTTTCCTCACCAGCTTTGTCAAGGGCCGCAGGAGAGCTCCATGGCCCAGGACTGCTCCACTCATGGCACCATCCAGGAGCCACAAGCATGGGAAGGGGCCCATGGGTGAGGAGAGGGCAGGAGGAGGGATGCAAGTCTGGAGAGGAGGAGTGGAAAATGCTGCAAGCTAATCGGGGCAGGATTAGCACGTCTTGATAAGCCAGACTGGGTCTGCAAGGCTCTGAATCCAGGGAGAGCCATGGCATATGGCTCTGTGCTGCAGGATTTGCTTGTATCTGCTTCCAAGCAGGGCTGCTCACTCACAGCCCCTGTTCCTTCCAGTGGAGTTGCAGCCTGGACTCCTGCTGACCTCTGGCCATCATCACCTTGGTTCTGCACTGCAACCCTCACAGCTTCCCTGACACTGCCCAGGCTTTCTCAGCCTGGAGCCCACTGAGGAAGCGGGTTTGGCCGTCCGTGGTGTCTGGGATGCGTGTGCAGGAGCAGGGAGCATTCCGAGGGAACAAGCCCAAGGCTGGAGGTGGCTGTGCCTGGAGGTCTCTGGCTCACAGGATCTCTTGCTCTTCTTTGTCTCCCCCCCTCCCCAGCTGCAGATGGGACATTCTCTTTTAAATACAGTCCTGGCAAGCTGAGGGGAAACCAGTACAAGTCAATGATGACCAAAGAAGAGCTCGAGGAAGAACAAAGGTACGTTGAGTTTCCTGTTTCTTCTCGCCCAAGGCACCCCCTTGAAGCAGGCTGGGTCTGCTCAGACCTCTCTTCCCTTGGCTGCCTTGGGCTCAAGGCCTCAATGGTCCAGACCTCTGCCACCCAGGAAGATGTGAGAACAAATAAAGTCACACTGATTGAGGAGATGGAGGCACTGTGGCCCTATACCCCTTTGGAGCTGCACAAGCTCCCTCTCTGCAAGCTTAGTCCCAGTGTTCCAGCTGATGCAAGAGGGTGTCGTTCCCCTGATCCCAGCACTGGGTTGGTTTACATCTGTTGACCTGATCTCTAACTGCATCCCTCCCTTCACCCTGTGGATGCCCTCCAGAGCGAGGACATGGGCATAGCTCAGAAATACTGGAGCAGAGAGTGTGGAGCTTTAGAGCTCACTGCGATGGGGCTGACACTGGGAATGTCTGCTCCCAGGGCTGGCTCCTCAGCTGGAAGTGGTGGGGATTTGCCAAGTACTGGGCTTGGTAGAGATGGAGACTTGCCCATCTCCTACTTTTTGCTAAGGTTTCCTGCTGAGCCCTGCATGAAGAAAGCAAGAGCCTGTCCTCTTACCAAAACCAAGCTTTCTAGCTCAAGATTTCCCAGCCTATTCAAGGGAAATCAACACCAATCTTGCATCTCAAGCTGTAAACCCCTACGTGAAGCCAGTCTGTGCTGCCAGTGTGAAGCCTGCCCATGTGCAGAGGGAATCCTTCAGCCCACAGGCATGCAGAGCCCACACTAAACCAGAGCTGTCAAACCCCACAGCCAAGGGCTTTGCCCTACAAGTAGGCTCCATGGCAGGCTGCTCCCTAGCAGATGTGTGCAGCCCATACCCCATACCCCTTCCTCTGCAGTGGTGCTCAACAAGCCTGGGAGATGATGTTCTCTCTGTTGCTGTCTCAAGGTGTGTAGGACCCAATTCTCCCCCCCGTGTTGTGCAGCTCCTAGAATGACCTGGGGGAATTTGTCACCCCTTGCCTGTGATGCTGTAGTCTCAGTACCACTGCAGCTGGTGTGGTGGGTTAAACACGACAGCCTGACGTGGACCAAGTGGAAAACCGAAGCAGGGAAGGCAAGGATGGAGGGCACCTCTCCCCTAGGTCAGGTTTGAGGTGTCTTCCCCTTCTGCCCTGGCTTCTGGGCTCCCAGCTGTCCTTAAATCTTGGGCTTCACCTGCCCTATAGCACTGCCAGGAGCAAAGATGTGCAAGGACTCTGTGCTCTGGGGACAGCCACAGAAAGGAGCTCCAGTTTCCTCTGGCGTGGGGTCGATTCTGCATTGGTGCTGTCAGGAAGACTGGGGTTTGCTTTCTTCCTTTTGGTCTATCTACATCATGTCTGAAGCCCCGAACCTGTAAAACTCTAAGCAGGTCTGTTGGTGTTGCTGTATTTTTCACTGGGGGAGGGTGATGGTGGAATGAACTGAGTGAATGTGAGAGGAGCACATGCAGCCCACTTGGAATTGCTTTTCAGGATCCTTCTAAGCACCAATACAAAGATGGACCTGCAGCAGCAGGCAAATTCAAACCCTTGGCACCAGCAGCTCCGTGCCAACCACCTCAGCAACCACTACTTGGGTTTTCAGGGCTGCAGGGCCTTGGGCTGGCTGCTCTGTGGCAGCAAATGCTCCTGCAGTCACCTGGGGACACTGAGGGGACATTTGCCTGCAGACAGCAGTGGGGTTTGTATTCGGGACCATAGAACAGGCTCTTCCTGGGCATGTGGGACCTCGCAGGCATTGCTGCTCATGTCTGCGTGGAGTGGTCCCAGGGCAGGACAGTGCACCTAGAACTGATGGACAGTGTCGTGTCCTTCGGAGGCTCTCAGCAGCCTTCCACACAGAGGACCATTGGCAGATGAGGTTTTTCTACTGCTCCTTTTCTCCTCTTGCATATTTGTGTTGTTCATTTCTTCAAGGCAGCTTTGTGATTTTATTTGTCTTGCTCTGTTGCTGGCTTATTTCCCCCCTTACCTCTTCACTGCAGCATCAGCAGCTTTTCATTTCAGGCCTGGCAGGTGGTGTAAGGGGCAGGGCTGCTGCCAGGTAAGCTCCAGTCCTGCATCCTTCCCCTTCAGCAGTGCCATCCCCCTCCATGTACCCCGACCATGCTGCTGCTGTGCTGTGACCCAGGTTTGCCACCTTTATGTTGCAGGATTGAGCTGACCTCTGATCTCACATCTCTGTAGCAAGTACCTTAGGTCCTCGGCCACAAACATTCTTGCAAATCTTTTTGGTAAGGACACGCTGCTGCTTAGAAGTAGTGGTACCACTGGTAACATGTGCTCATGTCTGGGGAGGGGGTTGCCTTTGGGTCTCACTTTCTGGGGAGGGTTTGTTTGTGAGCTGCAGTTGACTGCTTGTCCCACCTCCCTTCCATCCTCCTCCTCCTTCCCTCATGTGAATGAGTCCTCTCCCCTCTGCCTCCATCTTGCTTTCCATGGGGGAATTGGGTGTTCTCACGTTCCAGCGCTCACCTCTTCCAAGTTGGATGCCTGAAGCTGGACATCCCACGACCACTTCTGTTTACTGGTCTGGAAAATCAGGGCTGCTGAGGGAGTGGGGATCTATTCCTAAGGTGAATTGCCAAAGATGAGACAGGCTTAGACTTTGCTTTTAGCCTTGTCACAGTCTTCCGATGGACCAACAGGTTCCCATGTGAAGCAGTTTGTAAGGAGCACCCCAGAAACACAAGTGGGTCCCCCCAAGCTCCTTGAAGCTACCTGTGGTGTTGATCAGGTTGGACACAGGGGCTTGGAGCAAGCTGCTCTAGTGGAAGGTGTCCCTGCCCGTGGCAGGGGTTGGAGCTGGTGGAGCTTTAAGGTCCCTTCCACCCCAACCCAGTCTGGGATTCTATGGTCAGTAGTTAACAAGTCTTAACTTAGGGACCCCTAATTTTGGAGGTGCCACTGACAGAATTCCTTGCCTGTTGCAGGAAGATCAATAAGACTTCTCTAAGACTTCAGACAGGAGAGGACAGGCATGCAGCAGGTTGGGTTATTTAGCCAAAAATCCACTTCTGCTCTAACACACATCACTCCAGAAGCTGTGGTTGTCCTGCCTAGCATTCACTTGAGTCTTGTGGCCTCAAAGTGGTGCTAAATCTGGACTAAAAGGGGAAGGAATGTGACCTTTACCGAGCGATACAACTTCCTGCTTCTGGTTGCTCCAGTCTGGAAACCCAGGAGTGCTCAGTGAGGGAGGAGGACAGTAAATCTGGTTGGCAAATACATCTGCTCAGGTGGTGGCTCTGCTTGACGTGGGTCACCAGGACTCCTAGATCTGAAGCACAGATTTGCTCCCCTGGGGCAGGAAGGGGAAGAGTGCAGGGGAAGGAGGCAGCGCTTCGTCAGGCACAGCACATTTCCCAAACCCTTCCCTCCTGCACCTGAGGCTTTTGGCCACCTATTGCCAACTGTAGCTGCAATGTGCAGCTTGTCCCCACTCGGACAGGGCTGGGTTGTGTAGGCATGAGCCTGTGAGGTGCTGCTGTCCTGGCTGGGCACCTCTTTCAGGTGAGGAAGAGGAAGGGCTCTCCAGGGTGCCCTCAGGGCCTGGCTCACATGGATGTATGGAAATGATCTCTGGCAGCTGCTCTTCAAACCGCCCTTGAGGACGAAAGAGCTCGGTGGGGTTTGTGCAGTTAGGAGTGTGATCAGGTGGGTGTCGAGCACGGGCAGCTGCAGCAAGGCTCCGCTCATAGGGAAAGGGAAAACAACCAGGAGAAACGATGCCCTTGGGTCTCTGCTTCCAGTTCCTTCTTCCCATGAGGCAGAGCAGGTTCCAGCCAAGTCTTGCTTGGTGCCAGTGATGCCGAGAGCTTGGGCTGCCTGTGCTCTGGCCCTGCTGCTCTTCACTAGGTGTGTTGGCTGGAGAAGGGAGAGCAGATCCCACGTGATGCTCTGTGGAAAGGTCTCTCCTCTCTGCCCTCTCTCTTGTTTCTGGGATTTAGGAAGAGGTTAAGGGTGGAGAGGCAGAACCTGCCCCTGGGGCCTGTGGGTCTGAGTGAATGGCACCAAACTGCTCATGAATGGAGGAGGTGATCATCCCCCAGACCACAGCCCAGCCCTGTTGGAATGAGGAGAAAGTAGGGATGGATGGATAGATGGATTGGATGGATGATTAAATGGATGATTAGACGGAAGATTAGATGCATGATTAGATGGATGGATGGATGGATGGATGGATGGATGGATGGATGGATGGATGGATGGATGAGTGGGATGGGTGAATGGATGGGTGGCTGGATGAATGGATGGATAGATGGATGGATGTCTGCCCAGTTTCCCTAGCTAATGGGCTCTCAGGTGAGCCATTCTAGGGGCAAATTCTCCTCCTGGCTCTCAGTCCTCTACTCTCATCTCCTGACCAGACATGGATTGAGGAGACAGTGCTTGAATCCAGACTAGGTTTAAGCCCAGGGCCCAACTGTAAGCTGGAATTCATGCGGAGGGTGTTGGATGTCTGTAAATCTCATGCTCAGTCCTCTTTTTGGTGGTAATTTAACAATAGAAACCTGTCTCCTCCCCAGCTGGGCTCGAAGTACCTCTTGGTTACAAGGCACTGAATGAAAATGGGCTTGGACCCTGGAGTTTCAGCAAGCAAGGGTGCCCTGGATGGACCCTGGCTCTAGGGAATGGCAGAGAGGAAAGATCCACGTGGGGATGCAGCTGTGGCTTGAGGGACAGCCTCAAGCTGCAGTTTGCTTTTGAATGAGACAATGCTTGTGGTGACAGCTTGGAGCACACAAGGGCAGGAAGCACCTGCAGGGCTTTAGTGACCGTGGTGACAGACCTTGACCTGTTCCAAACATCACTACTGGCCCTCCAGTACTAAGTGAATGGAGTGGGCTGGGGGAGGTTGCAATTCAAGAGAGCTCTCCATTGGCATCTGTCCCTGTCCACCCCCTCCATTGCCATCATAGCCCTTGCTTGCTTGCTTGCTCCCTCCTCTGTATAGCATGGGTTGTGGGCCCCTTTCTCCTCCCT